CCACAAATGAGTGAGATCATGTGATATTTATCTTTCTCTGGCTGGCTTATTTTGCTTAACATAATGCTCTCTAGTTCCATTCATGCTGTTGCAAATGGTAGGAGTTCCTTCCTTTTTACAGCAGTATAGTATTCCATTCTGTAGATGTACCACAGTTTTTTAATCTACTCATCTGCTGATGGGCACTTAGGCTGTTTCCAAATCTTAGCTATGGTGAATTGTGCTGCTATGAACATAGGGATGCATATATTCTTTCTGATTGGTGTTTCTGGTTTCTTGGGATATATTCCTAGAAGTGGGATCACTGGGTCAAATGGGAGTTCCATTTTTAGTTTTTTGAGGAAACTCCATGCTGTTCTCCACAGTGCACGAGGGTTCCTTTTTCTCCACATTCTCGACAGCACTTGTCATATGTTGATTTGTTGATGATAGCCATTCTGACAGATGTGAGATGGTACCTCATTGTTGTTTTGATTTGCATCTCTTGGATGATTAGTGAATTTGAGCATGTTTTCATATGTTTCTTGGCCTTCTGTATGTCCTCTTTGGAAAAGTATCTAACTATGTCCATTGCCCATTTTTTGATTGAGTTGTTTATCTTCCTTTTGTTAAGTTGTATGAGTTCCCTGTAAATGTTGGAGATTAAACCCTAATCAGAGATAACATTGGCAAATATGTCCTCCCATGCAGTTGGCTTTCTTGTTATTTTGTTGATGGTTTCTTCTTTATTTTCTCTTCAGTTTCTATTGCCCTAGGAGCTGTATCGGTGAAGATATTGCTTCGGCATATGTCTGAGATTTTGCTGCCTCTGGATTTCTCTAAGATTTTTATGGTTTCCGTCTTACGTTTTAGTCCTTTATCCATTTGAGTTTATTTTTTGTGTATGGTGTAAGTTGGTGGTCTAGTTTCATTTTTTGCATGTATCTGACCAATTTTCACAACACCATTTATTGAAGAGACTGTCTTGATTCCATTGTATGCTCTTGCCTCCTTTGTCAAATATTAATTGAGCTTGGGGATTGGGTCAATTTCTGGGATCTCTATTCTATTCCATTGGTCTATATGTCTGTTCTTGTGCCAGTACCACGCAGTTTTGAGAACAGTGGCTTTGTAATATAGCTTGATACCTGGTATTGAAATTCCTCCTCTTTTGTTCTCTTAGGATTGCTGCAGCTATTCAGGGTCTTTTTTTATTCCAGATGAATTTTTGGAGAATTCGTTCTAGGTCTGTGAAATATGCTGTTGGTATTTTAATGGGGAGTGCATTGAATCTATAGATTGCTTTGAGTAGTATGGACATTTTAATGATGTTGATTCTACCAATCCATGAACACAGTATGTTCCTCCATCTGTTTATGTCTTCCTTAATCTGTTTTTTCAGTGTCCTGTAGTTTTTTGAGTCATATTTGTAGTTTTTTATTTAAAAAAAAAACAAAACCCTTGTATTCTGCTTTTCTCACTAATAAAAAAAAAATTTAAGTTTAAACATAGTATTCCCCCAACACATGATTACTGACAAGAAACTACACATTTTAAACTGGATGGCAGCATTGTTGGTAAAAAAAAAAAATTTATCCAACACGCAGAGAACTGACTGAGAGAGAAACGAAAGATGCTGGATATATATAGGTTGTCTTTTGCATTATGACCTGATACAATGACAAAATTAGGAGCAGCTATTTTACTCTGTAATTTCTAAGATTCATAAAATGATGACTGGAAATCAATGAGACCTAAAAGCACAAAGAAAAGGGAAAAGGAAGCAACCCAGCATCCTGGGAGGAGCTGCTCTGTGCCTGGAACTGTGGGGGGTGCTCCCCCGGGGCGATCTCACCTGAGCTTCACACAGACTTTGTGAGTTAGGAGGTAGAGTCTCACTTTCTATAGAGTAGAACATCGAGGCTCGGGGAGTTAAACAACTGACCCACAGCATCTCAACATAGAGTGTGAGGGCATTTGGAGATTGGCCCATCCAACTTCAATCTTTCCTCTGCGTCTATCCAAGAAGCCTGGGTGATTTTCATTGTTTTCCTCCCAGTTTTGTCTTTCACCTTCTCAAAAGGTTCGGTACTGGATCATTGCACATTGTTTCCAAGGATATCCTGGGAGACAATAAACTCTACCCACCCAGGTTTACAGAACAATTACTCAAACTGCGTTAGATGGAGAAGTGGTTTCTCAATAACCTCACCCTACAATCATGATTATCTTGGTGCATATTCCTTAGTGCTTCTATGTAATGTGTACAGTAGATGCATTTACTTATTTGTGCTTTCTAATTATTAGCTATGTTTGTCCATCTGATCTTCCTTCGTGACTTCTATGGTATAAGGTAGAGAACTGCTAGTGATACTTTATTAATACTCAACAGATCTGCTTTTTTATTGTCACTATAATAGCTTTAGCGTAGGCTCCACAGAATTCAAATTGAAGTGATCATAACATGAAAGGAATGGTTCAGCCAGAAGTGGACAAACCTCAGCAATACTGTGGCCCTCTGTAGATTGAAGACACTGACTTATATATGCGATGATCTGTAATTGGACACTAAACTTGAGCCACTTGCTTTCTTCCTCATACAGGTCGGACTCCAAAAACACCAGACTGGTACAATCCAGGTGAGTTAAGAAAACTGAAATTTAGCCAAAGCCGCCTTTACTTTTTCAACAATGCATCTAGTTTATTTAAACCCAAGCCTGAGTGACAGTTTCTTCTCTATCACAACCTTCAACTGAGATGAAGTATCTCCAGGCAGGGAGGTGATTGGCTGTGGTGGGATGAGGCTACGAGGGTGGATTTGTCTTTCTCTGTGACTCTGGGTGGCAGTCACTGGCTCAGGAGTCCTCAGGAAGCACTGTCCTGCCCAGAGAGAGCCAGGACTCTAAATGAATTACAGTTTTAAAAAGTTTTGAACATTAATCCATGCTTAGAGGGTACAGCTTGGTTTACACAGTCATAACTCTGATATTCTTTTCCTTTAGAGCGTGCTGGAATTCATGGACCTCCAGTTATAATAGAAGGGAGTGAATATTGGTTTGTCCCTGAACCTCGCTTAAACTATGAAGAAGCTGTCCTGTACTGCGCCAGCAATCAGAGCTCCCTGGCTACTATAACATCTTTTGCAGGACTAAAAGCCATCAAAAACAAAATAGCAAATGTAATTTTAAAAAGAATGTATCTTTAAATATTGTTCTTATTTTTATATTTATGCCATTAAATTTTTTTCAAAATTTTTGCCAAAATCTACAAAAGTTAAATGTTCCTCTCAAGTAAAATTTGCCTAACAACATTCAGATCCCTCGTTTCTTGTTAGAAATGTTAACTTTAATTGCTTATGTTTTATAGTATTCAAGACTAATTATGAATATCAATTTCTACAATGAACAGCAATAGATAATATAAATTATTCTAAGTCCTTATCACATTTTTTACTAAAAGTTAACTTTATAGTTAACTTGACTTTCTATTTCTACTAATAACTAACTTTGCAACATAGCTTTTTGGAAGAAAAATAATTTGTTCATCTTTAAATTTATAATTAGTTGCAATAGGACACTATATGTCCAATTGATGTATGCCCATAACTACAGCAACCATATTTTCTATATGCAAAATAGGGCCTTTGAATATACAAAGAGTTTTCAAACTATTCTTTTGGTGAAAGATCGTGGTTTGTGTAATTTAGATAGCAAAGTAACGGAATGTTTGAAAATCTTAGTGTTTTGTAGTTATGGTGGGATGGAGTTAAATCAAAACTCTCCTAGAAAACTCAGCACATATAAGGATGGATATTTGGTTTGTTTTTCAGATATCTAGTGATGAGCAGAAGTGGTGGATGAGAACCTCTGAGCAGCCAATAATAGATCGTCATTTTATATAGTATGTATTATTATTGATGCTAACTTATAAAGTGGTTTAAAAGAAGCAGCCCCAAATTCCCTTTTAATAAATGTATTACCCTTTTTAAAATATATTTTTATTGATTTCAGAGAGGATGAGAGAAATAGAAACATCAATGATGAAAGGGAATCATTGATTGGCTGCCTCCTGCATGCCCCCTACTGGGGACAAGCCTACAACCAGGGCATGTGCCCTGACCGGAATTGAACTGTGACCTCGTGGTGACCTCGTGGTTCATAGGTTTGATGCTCAACCACTGAGCCACACCTGTTGGGCTAAATGGATTACTTTTCATAATTAGTTTTGCACATTAATCCATAAACTGCCTAGATTAGAGAAACCCATTCTTGATGCATATTTGCATCAAGAATTAAGGGGTAGCCCTAACCAGTTTGGCTCAGTGGATAGAGCGTTGGCCTGCGGACTGAAGGGTCCCAGGTTCGATTCCAGTCAAGGGCATGTACCTTGGTTGCGGGCACATCCCCAGTAGGGGGTGTGCAGGAGGCAGCTGATCAATGTTTCTCTCTCATTGATGTTTCTAACTCTCTATCCCTCTTCCTTCCTCTCTATAAAAAAATCAATAAAATATATTTTTTTAAAAAAGAATTAAGGGGTATAAAATAATGGCATAAGTTTAGAATTAAAATTATTTACAGTAAACACCAGAATGGGACATGTAACTACATTCTGAGTTGTCAAATCTCTCATTTTCTTTCAGCTCAAGACATCCATGGCATCACTTTCCTATAACATTTGGACAGGAATGTCTATACATATCTGCCAGGACTTGGCTTAGCGGTAAAATTAATTCCAAATCCTTTAATGTTGATTATGTTACATGTGAAATTCAGGTTCAATTACTAGTTCAATTTTGTTTTTCCCTTTGATTATGTGTTTGGTGGCTTTATTTTTTCTGATTTATTGCTAATCACAATAGCGCAATTTCTAGATGCAAGTAAAGTTACTTTTCACTGTGAATATTTTTACTTCCTTTATCCTAAAGTAATTACTTACAAGTAAATTTACCACTTTCGTAACTAATAATCATGTAGACAAATTTGCAAAGATGAACAGGCAACATTTCTAAAATATAGTTTAGGTCCCTTTCCCCTTATTAGCCTCCTTCAACTCTATTTCCCGCCATCGGCAACTGTGGTAGCTGCGGTTGTTACATCGTATGTGCGCATTTTTATAGGCAATATTGGTATGCTATCACCTACTGATATGAATAGTGCTAGAAGACATAAATGGCTAGAGAAGAGAAAGACTATATTTTAACCATCTGGGAATTAATTTAAATAGACTTTCTTTATGGCTGGATTGTTTTTAAAGTGTACTGGATGGGAAATCTGACCACAGTAATCCTGCTTTTCATTTCTCAGACTTAAATAAACCAGCAGACTGTAATACCAAGTTGCCCTTCATCTGTGAAAAATATAATGTATCTTCATTGGAGAAATATAGTCCAGATTCGGCAGCTAAAATACAATGCTCTGGGGATTGGATTTCTTTTCTGAATAAGGTAAAAAGAGAATTGCTACATTGTGCAAATGATGATTGCTTTCATGATGGTTGTATGGCCTGTGACAGAATGGCAATCCATCAAATAACTTGACTAAGACAGCCTCTGCATATTTCGATATCTCACCTTAGAAACCAAGTTAACTCTCAAGTTAGTCATGCCTACAGCTCTTTCAAAATAGTGTGTTTCTATTCTGTTATTACTCACACTTAAATTGCTGAAGTTCCAGTGTCAACGGAGAGTACCAGCAATACGTTGAAGTCAAGACTGTCTCTATGGCATATAGGAAACTGACTTAATTTCTGGCTGATAAATTTTCCCCCTTATGGAAAACATCCATCTAACATCTACTAATCAAACTAGACTAGCATTTTCCAAACTACTTTCTGGGGAACTACACATATACTAACCAAATGTTAATCATTGATCTTGCCTCTAAAGTAGAGTTTATGATTTAAATAGGTTTGGGAAATGCTACATTCTATACTTGCTCCTTTGGGATGCATAATCCATATTGGTATATGTATCTCTTAGGGAATGTATTTGACTGCTAAAAAGAGAGATAGGTACAGTATGTTAAAACATTTATTCTATTACATAAAGAAGTTAGAAGGTAAGCAGCTTGGCGTTGGTATGTAAACTCTGTGAATTCTTCAAAGGCAGGCTCCTTTTGTCTTTCTCCTCTGCCATGAGGCTTCCAAGCTCAAGCTCGGGGTGTTTTCTCTAGAGTCTTCTAGAAACCACACAATGACTTGTATGCCCTTGGCCATTTCATTCTGTATGGAAGATGAAATAAAAACATTTTGTTGAATGTTTCAAGGAATACAATTTAGAACATACTACTCCACACTAATCTATACTAATAAAAGGATAATATGCTAATTAAGGTGGATGTCTTCCGGACGACCATCCGGAAGTCCTTCCAGACAAAGCCACAGTGGCTGCCTGAAGCTCAGGCAAGTGTGGATGGTGGCTGCCGCTGCCCAAGGCCGGCCCGAGGCTCAGGCAAGCCACAGATGGCAGCTGCCACTGCCCAGGGCTGGCCCGAGGCTCAGGCAAGCCACGGATGGCAGCTGCCGCTGCCCAGGGCCAGCTCGAGGCTCAGGCAACTGAGCCTGGCTGCAAGACCCAAGGCTCAGGCAGCCATGGTGGCCACCAGTGGCAGCAGCAGCGGGGTGATGGGGGTGGCACCTTCCCCTGATCAGCCAGGTTGCCTCCAGCAGAGGGAGGCAAGACTTCGGCTTAGCCTGGGGGCTGAGGCAGAAGCAGTTAGGGGCGATCATGCCGGCAGGGGGCCAAGGTAGGGACGATCAGGCCAGCAGGGGGGCAGTTAGGGCAATCAGGCTGGCAGGCAGGCAGAGGCAGTTAAGGGCGATCAGGC